TTGATTTTTACACGTCACACAGTTACTCCTTACCACACCTGGCGTCCCACAGCCATAACAAGCTAACTTGTTTTGAGGTTTGATATTTGTGCTTGTTGTTTTATTGTCTGCCAACCTTTTGCGACATTCTTCCAAAGTATGGCCCTTCTTCCCGCAGTAGGCACATCTCCTTATAGGCTTACGCTCCGTGGTAAATTTCGTGGTTTCTTCACCTTCTTTTTCAAGGCTTTCAAGATGGCGACCGCGTTCCAGTAGATCAGCAAATGTTTTGATGTCACTGCGAGCTATCTCCTTCTTGTACGATATTTTAAGCAACCCATACACCATGTCTAAATGTTCCTCCTCTTTTTGCCGCTTCGTTGGCAATTGAGCCAACAAGGCTCGCTTTTCGCAAACAAAATCGTCTATGTTTTCGTTACCCTGTTTCTTTGCGAAAACTTCCATGTAGATTTCGTGCGGTTGTTTTCTCGGCGCAAAAGCACACCGTATTGCGTCGATTGCTTGACTCCATTTCTTAATTTCAGATTTTATTCCAATCCACCACGTGGCTGCTTTATCAGTTAACACTAAAGACAGACCCTCTAATGCATCATCATCCGATATTTTTTCAATTTTCTTAAAGACCGATATGCTTGTTACAAATTCTTCCACTTTATTATAACACCTTTCGCCGTTAAATTTAGCTCGGCACTGTGCAAAACTTTTCGTAGACATCGTTGTAGTAATTTTTGAAAGCAAATCAGATAGAAGTAGAACTTGTTCTGACGACAATTGCTCTGGTTTTGACATTTCTAATAATCTTTCAATGTATGCCAATGTAGGTTTCACTTTTCAATATTGTGGGTACTTCAATAAGTGTGCGGGTACTCCATACAATTTAGAAGGTAGGCCGTAAAAATATGAGGGTAGGCCAAAATATTTTTATTCTGTAGATGATTCCATTCCAAGTTATTGTTCACTTTTCAATGTTGTGGCTACTTTACTATGCAGGTACCAATGTTTAAGGTAGGCCGTACACATATGAGGGTAAATATTTTTATTCTGTGGGCGATTTGATAACGTTGTTTCTAATGTAGATCAACATATATTTTTATCCTGTGGGCTATTTTATAACGTTGGGCGCCAATGTAGGGTTGCTGGTTTTTGAAATTAAAGCCCCGTTGTACTAGACGATAGTTTATTGTCTTATATAAAGATACACTTTACAATATGCACTAATCTTAAGGCAACCCTAAGTGGAGGGATGAAAGGGACTGCGTGGCTATCGCCATTCAACCTCCCCTAGCTGGCTAATTCCTGAAGACCGCTAGGCTATCGAACAGGAACTAGTCTTACTTAGGCTCAGAATTGGCTGCGTGGCTACCGAACTCTGATCCTCTAGCTAGTCGAATGAAATTGTCAAAGACTGTTCTGCTTATAAAGGCAGACTGTTTACATGTGTGCACAATATCTACACGTTGATGTCTGTAGTGGTGATGCGGACCGGCGCTAACGCAGACAGTTCGACACGCAGTGTGTAGATGGCGTCACTTGTCTACTGTAGCTGTCTTCTAGTTTATGACTGCCGCTCATCGTATTACGCTAGATGGCGCTGTATGTTTGTTACACATTTTATTATACTGTTAAGTATGGAACTTCTATGATAAGATAATCTCATAAATCAGGAATTTCCACATGTATAAAACTATTCTATGAGTCAGTCCATAAGTATTGTATGTTTACATAACATTGTAATATCAAAGCACTTGTAATGTTGTTCACATAAATAACCCATCATTATTACACAGCTAAATACTACTGATTGCTTGTAATTTGTTTTAATAATACCAAAGGACTTATTCAATGTAGTCTGGAAGAGTCATGTGTCGGCACGTATAGTTATAAACGGCCTGAAACAAAGCTCTCTTTGTATTTTCGGGTACCTATATGGAATAACTGGAAGCCCAATCCTTCTGCCCCTTTCCTCTCTATTTGCAAGCCTGAAATTCGAAATCTATGAATTTCTAACAACCCGCCAAACGCCATCGCGATGCAATTCACTTCTCTAGTGTTTATAGTTTGTGTATCAGCGAAGCCGACACTCATCTCATAAAAATAGGCAAAATAATTATCAAAACCATAATTTCTAATATACTGCCAGACTTTCTTTCTCAATAGAAAGAAGGACCTTCGGTCGGATCAATAACTATACTAAATCAAAGTCGAGATGTCGTGTTTATATACACAATAATAGGCCTGAAATTCCACCGTTTTTAACCATAAGCAGTAAAAGTGGAGTAATTACAAAGTGTGTATTTTTCAGATAAAAACAATAACAATATCTGTAAATTGGGAAAACTAACGCTGTATCGCGTTACATGATAGATAACATTTACAACATTATAGTTGATAGAACTTCCTGATTTCGATATGATCAGAAAAGGAAAACCGAAAAAAAAAACTATACTGCATTTATATACCAATTATTTTTTTTCGTTAAAACGTAGTGATGTATTACTGATACAGAAATACATAATTATATGTATATACGTGTAGTTATATTACCATTTAATTTTGTGGTCACTACATTTCCTTTTAAGATTTAAAGGGAAAACACTTGGCGTATAAATAAAGCGCTGCTAATCACAGTTGTGTTTAGCATAATTGTCTCGGACAGAGAGGGCCGGTCCTCTCAGGGAGGGAATTAAGTTGCCTCTCGTTTGTCCGAGTCCCTACTGCCCGAATTCACAACAAGTACATTTAATTAGTAACAAAGTTTACTTCCGAAAAAACGGCTTACAGAAGCAAGATGACTTACGCGGGCAGTTTTGGATTCTTAAAAACGTAAAAATGTGAAATTACATCACAAAAAAAATAAACAATTTATAGCAATTATAATGCACGCAATTTTTTATGCTTCACCATCCGAGGTAAGATTTGCAGAAGCAGTAGACTTGTAAGTCCGCCAACTTTTTTTATGAATAGACGGCAAACTAGCAGGCGGATTACCTCATGGTAAGCAATCAGCCCATGGACACTAGCAACTACGGAGGAGTTACTAGTGCGTTGCCGACCTTTTAAGGATTAGGGATTTGGAGGTTTTGTCATTGGGGGAGGGAAAAGATTGACCCTCCGGTAACCTCACTCACATGGCGAAACACAAAGCTGTGTGTTGTTTCACGCTAGTTTTCTATGAGGCCGTGGTATTACTCCGGCTAGCCAACCCATTCGTGCCCAATCATACCTCTGCCACAGTTAAAACTTTCTTTCAGCGGAAAGCATATTCAATATTTTCCGCTTAACCACGTTCCCAACGCATGATCCTGAAGGTTCTCATTCGGACACGTGTGAGTGACACATGATCAATATGATAACAAACATTAAGGGCATATCATCAACATATTTGGAAGCAAATCTTAGTGCTGGCTAGCATGAAAGTAAAATCCTTTAGAAATAGTTTTATGACTATCCTTACTTTTCTTAACAGCTGGACTGTTTAAAGCAGCGGACAAACAGTAGTATAAAAAACTTCAATACTAAACAAGTAAAAAACAATCTTACATCTCTGCTTAAACTATGTCTAGAAGAATTAAAAATAATAATAAATATATCATGATAAACAAAGACATCGGTCACCAAGCATGCTGGCGACCAAAACAATCCTATTAAATGCATTAAAACAAAAACTTTTTCAAAGATTACACCGTAACAGACCGCCTAAGGATATAAAAGTTCAGAAATGGAAAGTACGCTCGCGTAAAACAACCAGCGTCTTTACAAAAGAGGTCCAAAGAAAGTGAGTTGTTTTGTTATTAATTACGTCAGGAACTGTAGGACCGTAGGTCCGTAGGGAGCGCGGTCCGTGAACTGTGGATGGCTACTTGACGAATTTATTCTTACGTATTTTAGAAGCAATGTTTTTTTATAAGGGGCAATCATCTAATGACTAATCCCGCCTTGTATCAGACTCCTACTGACTAAAAACTCGCCGTTCCCTCTCCTGCTCTGGGCCGCGGAGCCTCATTTGCGCTTGCCCCGCAACCCAGTCTAAGCAATGGTCTGAGGCAATGGTTAGTTTTACAATCAACCATTGCTTAGGCTGGCTGGTACATGAGTTTAAATACTATGCTATGCTTAAGCTGAAATAAAAATCTCAGAATATGAAAAACATAACAACTTTCTATTTAGTTTCTTACGAAAGATTAAGAACAATAGAAATCTCGTACTAATTGACATTGGCACTTAATCATCGTTTTAACCTATTTTGATAGTCATCGTTACTGACACAGTTATCTGTGGATGGTTCAATCAATATTACACTTCAGTACTCGACAATACGCATCCTCACCGGTGTGACGTCACGCGCGTCAAGTGCAATATCATGGCGGATCGTATCTGAGATTTGTCTGTCTGTTATAGTTTATTAATGTATGCACTTTTATCGATGGCCAAAGATATTTATTTATACGTCGACATTTCTCCAGTGATGCTGTAAATGTAGCTAGATCTGAATAAGCTAGACTAATAGACCGTATGAGCCACGGTCTAACTCATCCCAATCGGAAGATTCACTAGAGATAAAATAGACAACGACATTTATTTAGAAAAAGTAAATAAAGAGTTCCTTGCTATTTCTTTTGCATTCGAATATACACTTTGGAACGAGCACCTAGCTTTACTGACGAACTGACTGACAGATTACATATATTCTATTTTGACGTTTCAGTTTATGCTTTAGTTGGAAGAAATGATTTTACAATAGCCTTGACTTTGAACTCGGTACAAAGCAAACCTTGTACTTTAAAAAACTCCACCTTAAGTTATAAATAAGTTATCGATTAAGCTTAATCACCCAAGTCAGAACCTATTCATATCATATACAAGTAAAACGGAGTGTCGGAATAATATTTCGCACTACTTGTCTCATTGTTTTGAATCGGTTGGAGTAAGGCTGTGGCGCACGCGACTCTATCAAAGCGATATAAAACCATGAGCGACTCGACGCACGCGCATAGGCGAAGCGCGCGCGCGACGCTCACTTCCTGCTCCGCGTTGCCTTGGCGACCGCGTACCTTTACGATACATTGACGATACTAACACGATACTAGTACGACATTAAATATTATTATTTATTTTCGATTTTTTTATATCGAAAACTGTGCTGTGTGTGAAGTGAACTTGTAAACATGGTTGACTGTGATACAGCTGAGGTGACGGCGCTGAAACCCAGTGAGTTAATAAACATGTTTGTATCTATTTTTTATACTAAACTAAATTAGTAGATAGAAAATACAACAAGTCGTTTTCTAAGTCCCTACATAATATATATTATGATTAAAACAACGCAACGGATATTCATTAAAATTATATACAACATTGCATCTGTGCAAAGCCGGGGCGGGTCGCTATTTTGTAATAATTTAATAGGTACTTCAAAATGGTTGTCAATTTAACAATGAAGACACAAAGGGCACATTCATAGTAGAGGTACTGATAGTGAAATTGACTGCAAAAAGTGGCTTGAAATAGTCTCATTTAAATAGATATGCAGGACATTGACTTCTTCAAAATATTGCGTGGAGTTACAGATAAACATTTTAAACATGTTTCACAATGTCTGAATAACCACTAGGTATGTAAGAACGAAATTTATATTAGCGCTTATATGCGGTGGTGAATTTGACGCGAAAAAACTACTCGATTGTAACTGTAATTTGTTAGTTCTAAGAAGTTCTTCAATAAATCAAAGACATTATTTATTGATGGCACGCACACAACTTTATATTTTATAGAAGTTGTCAAATTGCTGATCATTGGCAGCATCTGTGAGGAGTTCTAGAGGCGATTTATTAAAAAAATAAAAACAATAGATTGTTAAAAAATGCTCTGAAAAATTTTATCAAAATACTAAACACTTAATTCTTAGTGCGAACATTGTTATCAAGAAGTTGAATGCTTTCGTTAACGTAATTTATTACTGTTAATCAGTTGTTCGGTTACAGTGTATTTGTTAGGATTTACTTTATTATCTTCTTGAGATAAACTTGTATTTATTGTCTGTATTAAGATGAACGAGCCAATAAGAGTTCAGTTTTTGTGTCTACAGATAAAACATTATTCTCATTTATTTTTAATGTGCTGACTACGTGAATGATTGTGTTTAGTAGAAGCCAATCAATTACAGATAACTATTGTGCAATAAATATTTATTCAGGTGAACAAGCAAACATGTTTTAAAATGAAATAAATATTTTATTAACATTCTAACATTTGATAAATGTTCGAAGTATTTCAATTTTTACTGAAACATAGTTTGCGGATATAATAAATTGTGAAAATATTGATCATAAACATATTTACGTAGGAAGAGTACATTGTTTATTTAACTTTGCGCATCTATTATAAAATACATTGATTTACTGGGTAACTACGGGTTGTCACATATCTACGTCAATATCAGTCGAAAGCCACAATTGCTAAGCTATGGAGGGCTGCACATCCTTAATTTCCAACTAGGTATATTCATTTGTGTTAGTTTAATCGAATTATCTTTGAATAGTTACCATCGTGTGAAAAAATATTTAATTAATAGCACGAATTATTTTACAATTCGATTCGATTTCAATCATTGATTTGTTTTGAGCACCAATAATACAGACTATCGAAAAGAAGTCTAACCACATAAATGGTAATATAGTATCTACCTATAGTGGTACTTAACTGTCACTTAAATTTTCGCCAGTATTGGCCAGTGAGCTTTAGCAATATAAGCGATTAATGACTTTTTTATCATATTTAAGGAAATCATTGAAAATATTGATACTTAAACCAAACAGTAAATAGACAAACCATTAAGAAAAAATTCTAGCGTAGATAAGTGTTTAGATATTTCATGTGAGATAAAGTAAAAGATGCAAGAAAAAATAGAATATAAATGAAAGTAAACTATTATTAAGCCCGACACTGACCAACCTTGCGACTACTTGTTTCAAAATTGCATAATTGTCGCTGACCTAAATCCATGGCTCATCTGCTTCATAATACATCTTCACAATAGACAACACTTGCTCGAGTATTTACACGTTCGCTGAAAAATACATTGTGTAAGGTGCGCTCCAGTTAGTGAGTGTGTGCCTGCATGCGTTGCGTGGCTGTCATTTACTAATGAAACTTGTATTGTCACCTGTTACTGGTGGCTTTATTATAGAAGATGTTAAAGAGGAAGCACTCGACACGGAACTGAACGTTTTGTTGCACCTTAAATAAAGTATTTAATAACTCACTGCAGTTGCTGGAAAGGTGTACAAAGCGAGTCAATTAGTAAGGGCGTCGTGTCGCGGTGCCTCCTTGGAGACCAGCAATTGTCTTGTAAACAAACCACAACTGCAGCTTGTTAGCGGAGCATTTATTTTGTACTCGTTGTCAAGTACTGCGTCCATTGTGGAAGTAATAGCTATTTCACGATTCATTTCTCCATCCGTCCACCGCTGTTTAAGAAAACTTGTTTTTGATTTTCCATTTCCCAATGCTAACAAATTCGCGTCGGCTTCCATGAATACTTACTTAGCTGGTGCAGTCCAATGTACAGGTTTATTCATCGACTTTATTTATTTGCCTTCCAGCCAGATGCGGGCTTATAAAATATTAATACCCTGTTCGATTCTATTAAACTTTTCTGCACACAATACTACATTTTATTTCGTTCGAATATTAGAGAAACTTGATTTTGTTTACCTACGTATCTTGAAATCGTTGCATGAATTCACATCGAAATTACTGAATGTCACTCAAGGTTATCCTTATCAAGAATCGAATCAACCTTTTAATGTCCGCACGTCTGATTGCAAAAACATTAAAAACTCTTTACTGTCGATATCGATACAAGTGACGAAAAAATAATCGCACAAAGTGTGTTACAATGAGAGCACCATGTATACATGCGGCGGGGAGTATTTTAAGCAATTGTTTTGGTAGTTGTCCACTCTATGTATTACACTGAGTAGTTGACGATGACGCGAGTGACATGCGCTGAGTAAAGTTATTGTTATTGACATTAAAACTACATTTTATTGCTTTGCAATGTTCACCTCATAAATGAGGGACAGCTAAGTACATTCGCCAAATTCTTTGATGTTAACCTGTGCGCCACCGCCAGCAGGTGCCAAGCATGAGGGTTTCCTGCAAATCGCTCTTACGTGTGGGAGACATTTGATCTGACGATACAACTGATGACGAAGATAAAAGCTAGTCCTCAATTAAGTACCTAGATACATTTAAGCGCTGGGTTTTAAATGGACGAACACTCTATAACTGTCAGCTTTAGAAATTTTAGTGTACTAATTAAAAAAGATAAAGTGTATGCAGTAAATCAAGGACCTCGTTGATATTGGAACGCTGCTCAAAGTGGGTCAACTGCAAACTGTACTACATCATGATAATAGGTGATACAGTTATTATGATACACTTAGCATTATGCTTACAACATGTGCATATTGAACTATTTATAAGGTACCTCATAAAACTTAATATTTTTATATCAAGTGAAGTCTATAATTAAATGGTTATATAAATTAAATATTGCACGTTAGGAAGTGCCGGTAACGCACCGGTTTGCCATTGGTTATATCATAAAAAGCAACGTATCCTTGCACCATCTCCGGAACTGCCTGCATTTACATAACTTGCATCTTGCATGCTAGTGAGGCGGTGCATACTGATATAGAATTGATCATTTAATGAATTAGGCTTTCTAGTTTAAGGCTTTATCACTCTAATTTAGTTCTCATTTTGGCATAAATAAAATATGTCGCCTTTTTGTGATCTTAGAAGTAAATCAGAGAAGACATTTTTATATGATAGATGGTAGAGACAGAACCACTTATAGATAGGTATTAGATAAAGGAACGAGGTATTCCATCTGCTACATGAGGTAGCAGCAACAGGCTATGTGATAAACATAGCTATAGTATGGTAGTGTGGTCGCACGTGACTCTGTATTGGATCCTCAGCGCCGGCCGCGCCACGTGAGGCCGCGGAGTCGGAAATGAATGGCTAATGAGCATCTGATGGGTCTGGCCAGGCCGGTCGCCTTCACCTGTCACCTACCTCATTATTGAATGAGTTTATTTTTATTGCTCGGCCACTACACCTTCCTGTGTCCTCTTGTTAACATGATCATAATTAATAACTTCTATTGAATTGTTCTTGGTCTAAAACTTCTAAGTAGTTCGTTTCACATAATAACATGAAATGTACAACTTTTTAATAAAAGTCACTATATTTTATATTCGTTACTTTTGGTAAACGTCTAAGATTCTACATTTTTTAAGGGCACGTTAGGCGCGGTTGCTGGGCAACAGGCTGCCAAGCATCGTGTGGCGGGTTCGATTCCCGCACGCAACAACTCTTTGTATGATCCACTAATTGTTGTTCCGAGTCTGGAGATTGTGTGTGCATGTTATGAAAAAAAAACGTAACGTATTTTTTCTAGTAAGTTAGGTTAGAAGACATAAAAGTAAGGTGCTAATGATCATGTCAACCTTTATGTGAAAAATTTAAACCTAAATGAGCACGGGTAAGTAAAACCTAAGCTTCGGTCATCTCGATGTAACAGAAACAAGGCCTGCAACGTATCGAACCTTTAGACCGGTCATATGGACTTGGGATTGCAAACTGAATAGTTAAACCGTCGGACTAGAGATATATAATTAATGCGGGCTGGCTTATTTTAAGGATAAACGTTATGTGAGTGGGTTTTAATTTTTACATGAATCATATTAGAAAATAAATACTAGGTGTAGCACTTACTGGATAATACACTAAGTAGTGACGCCCATCAATCATTCGGTTCAATTCAATAAACTGATCGCTCGCAATCGATCACGAACTATCGTGGCTAGGCTAAGTGGAGCCAATTTTTGGGTTCGACTAAATCATGTATAAACTTTGAAGGGCCCTCGCCTAAATCCCTTTACATACGTTTCCAATTCTGGCAATTTGGGAGCCGATAATGGGATGACCAATTTTATCCGCAGCTACAGAACTGCGAGATGTAAATCCTGTAAGCGATGATATCGGGTCTGGGAGTTACAAGTACACGGAGCGGACCCTTCCGTGTCGCTGCTCAGAGCTCTACTTAAACGTGTCTGGCGTTGAGACGACACCCCGGCTAATCAGGTCATCTATTGAATCCGCAATAACGATGATATTTATTGCTTTTGTCTGTGTGT